TTGTTGTGTGTCAGAGATTTGTTTGGGTTCGTTTCACCTCTCGGTGGCCCTTGTTTGCATATCTATGATCTTGTCCAAAGTGGTATAATAACTGTGTCACAGGTGCACCATCATTAAGATGCGATTATCAAAACTCTGCTACCGGAAATCATTGCAGTTACTCATTTTCAAGGACACTGCACAAACAATCCTATCCTCGTTAGTATATGAGTTCAATTAGCGCTAATTGGATAATTACCTGAGATTATATCAAGATGTGTTCATTGTTGTGTCACACAGCCTGTGGTATTAATACTAAATTAATACAATGCACTGTGAACTGCAAGGGAGGAAGAGTTTTTTGTTTACCTGAATGAGTACAGTTTTTCTTGACCACAGTCTTACTGTCACAAGTTCACTCTGAAAATCAGTGGTTGCTAGTATTTACTCACTCCTCTCATGAGGTGGCAAAGTGATGCAGATGCTCCTTCATTCGTTTTAGTCCCCGCAAGAAAATTAAAGTGCTTGTGGCCCATAATCCAATTTAGTCTCCCCCGCCCCTACGTAGTGAGTTTGCTGTGATTGCTTTAGGGAGCTGTGGCAGGGCAATATTAAAAATCTACCCATATTATTGTGATTGTATGTGCTTCAACTAAAGCCTCCTGACTCGGGGATCTGAACATGGCGTCTTAAGTGCTCTCCTGGCAGCTTTGTGTTGCTTATAAGACAGAGGCTCGGGATACAATTCAATTAACTTCTGAATATACCACAACAAGCTGTATCTTCTCATAACAATAAAGCATGAAAATGTAGTGATGTGGTCCCAGTGTGGGCCAGGGTACTGAACTAGTTTTGAGTTGTGATTTTTATCAAAGATTCAACTTTTTCAGTCCGTAATAGGCCTTTGTGATTTGAACTGCCATTTCCGGGGGCCCAAGATGAACTTTTTCCAACATTACCAAACCTGCACAGGTATAACTTACTGCAGCTACTCTCACATCTTTGGATGTGTCTAACTGATTTAAATTGAAGTTTATTGGTTAAATATAGTCCCTGAATATAGCATGACTAACAACGATAACAAACTGCAAACATAATCTATAAAGTAACTTGTTTGTTGACATTTTTCCACTTCAATGACTTAACTCTCACATAAACATGCTGGTTCTCTGTAAAATATAGGATGGTTCATTTTCTGTGAAAGGCATCTATTTTAAAGCATTTTGTAACTATTTTCCTCTTTCAATCCATTGGAGCAACATTGTGAGCTAAATACCCAGTTTTAGATAGATAGAGATAAAATACTTAATGCAGTTTGTATTCCTAAAGGATGTAGGTAATTTGTGATCAAGGTTAGTCTGTTTTCAGGTGTTAATGGAAGACCTGGTTGAGCTCTGTTCAGATCAGCTGTCACTCTGGCTAAAACCCACACATCTCTCCTGGTAATGAACTTCTTTAAAAACAAGGTAATTAATACACTAAAGCCAACGAGGTCACACATTCACAGTGCATAATATGTTTACACATTAACGCACAACTCCAGTTAAGCATTAACCCTACATAACCCGCAATTTGCTTTGATATAATTTCAACAGCAGCCAGCTGTATTAGGGACAAAGTGGCAACTAATGAATAACCTTTCTTGGATTTATAATCTATTTAATTCATGAAAAAATTGGTCATCTGCACTGTCTTGTCTTTAGTCTGTTGCCCTATAGTCATTACTGCTGCGTATGCTAATTCTTCATGCATTATGTCTTTTATTAAAAAGATGAATGAAAAGAACTGTTACTCATAATGAAAGTATAAAATACAAATCAGCCACTGAATCGTAGAAAAAGTTAGAGGCAGACATGTTAAACACTATCCATATTATCCATATATTGTTACTATTTACTAGGTGTGATAGTGACTGTTGAATCTTTATGTTGGAGAAGTTATTAGATAAATTGTCATAAAGATAAACTGGTGAAATATCTATCATATTTTAAGCATTTAATTGGACTTAGGTGCCATGTTACATAAGATCTTTCAGGTTGCAGTGTTTTTTACTTTTGGTGAGAACAATAAACTATTTTACAGCAGCCATTTTGACATGAAGTAGTAGGGTAAACACAGGTGTTACCATTGATACTAATTAAGGTACTGTTCCATTTAGGACAAACAGAATCGTGGTGCTGCTGTCGTACATGTTGGCTCACTGGAAGGCCTGTTACACTAAATGGAACTGAGCCTTAATTAGTATAATTCATAACAACTTTGTTTACCGTACTATTTCATGTTAAAATGGCTGCTGTTAAAAAATTCTAGTCCCAATCGTCTCTGTCACAGCATTGTTAACTCCATCTCTAACTCCACTTTCAACATGTCAGTATGATGGATTCCCATCTCTCATCAGTGTTGTGAGTGCAGTAGAGAGGAACAGTCCTCATTTCAATTTACACACATGCTGTTTCACATGGTGAATATTTTATTTTATTCTGTTTGAAGCAGGTAAATAACATTGTAGCTGCAGTGAAACATATTACACTTCTCGTAATTTGGTTTTGACACAGGTCGAAAATACATTGCCAGTTGAGAGATAAGGCATTGCTCAAAAAAAGAAATAATTTAGTATTTCATTTTTTATTCATGGATCAACTTACATTATTCCCTTCATCAAGGGACAAAATCTTGTTCATGAGCACTGACAAAGCTTGACCTTGTGGAATTAAAAAAAAATCCATTAAGATTTACCACCAATTATGGTTTGAAATAGTGCCCATATCCATGAGAAATAACTCCGCTGTCAGCGTCCGCAAAGTCATTCACAGATTTATTGTCAGGGGAGAAGGGTATGCCTTTGTCTCTCTCTGTCTCTCATGGTTTTCAATTCTAATTCTGGCTTCTCCAGCTTGGGGACAGACTTATTCATGTTTGCAAATGTAAATTGAGCTGTCCAAAATTATTACAATAACACAATACATGAACCCTATTATAAGATGGCTGCTGCTCTCCCTTTACACACAAATTTAGGACTTCATATTAAAACCCTTTACCTCACTACTTTGCTCTTCTCTGATTTGAAAGAAATAGAAGGATTGACTACCTTGTTGCTCAGTTAATTCAAAAAACCATTATGCCGTGTTATTCACTCTGATAGACTCTGTGTGTCCAAACAAATTATTCTCATAAGTGACTGTCAGTAGTGCTTAATCTTAGCACTCCATAATTTGGACGCTTGTACCACTGATAGCCCACTGCTCAGCAGGGGTCATCAATGGGCTGTCTTTTCTCCGAGCAGGGCCACGCTAGTTAATTGAGGTTAATTTGTGTCTGTGAATGACTGTGAGCAGGTGCTGGAGGTTGATGGTGGTTGTCAAGCAGAGGCATATCATAAATGACTTACGCAGTGTTTTCTTCCTTCTGTGAGCATGGCCATTTTAGTTAAGTTTCAGTTTGTGTGTGTGGACGCACTTGAGTGAATCATACTTTGTCACGTGTTTTGTGTTTGTGAGGAGGAAAGAGAGACAGAACAAGAGAGAGTGAGTGTGTATGCTTTCCTAACATGATACACCTGATTACGTTTTACCCCGAAATTGCAGCAGATGCTATGTAAAGTGTTTTGCTTTGATTTAAAAGACTATGCAGACTGTATAGTCTTTTTCCAGAGTGAATTACAGCATTATGAACATTGTTATGCTTACTACGTGAAAATGCTCTGCTGCCACAGTTAATCCTAATTATTTGGCAGAATGATTAACACAATTGTGTGAAAAGAAATACTCCCATCCTTTAAATAATGAGACATTTTTTCTCACTTAGCAACACCCGTGGTGGTTGGCATGCCAGAGCAAGGCTGCCAGTTTCAGACAACATGTGGATAATATTGTGAGAGTTTGCTAACTGCAGGTCTGGGAGAGCTGGCATGCACACATGTACCTTCTCATTCAGTTAGAGGTTGAATATGCTCTTTTTGCTGCTTCTCTATTAATTTTTTACATGTTAATCCCCATTGTCCTGCCAAAAATGCTTGTCAGCCTGCCAAACTCTTTAAATGCACATTTTAAAAAGGAATTGAATTGTGTCTTGCTCTACTGTCTAAGGGAATTCCTTGAAGGCATGTCTATTTTTTATTCTTTCATGGGTAGGTTAAGGTTTTGTGTCTGAAGATAATGATGTTTAAATAAAATAGACAGTTAAGATTTACAGTCTCTGAAAATTCAGTTTACTTTTTCAGTGTCTACTCTTTTGTTTGCTTTTCATATCTGAGTGTTTATTTTGACTTACTTATGATTCACACAGCAAGAGAAATTTGAAAAACTTTCCATGTGATTTTTTTTTGTGATCAATTTTTTATTAACACCATTTATATCATTCAGATATACAGAATAAATTCCACAATGTATGACAGTTTGTGTCAAATGGCGTAGAAATAAAAGAGAAAAAAAAAAAACACAAAACCATCTCCCACCCCACACCCTCTGCGGTCGCAAAATGAAACAAAAACAAAAAACACAGAAATCACACCTTGCCTAATCACTCTCCTCTCGGTCTTGAGGCACTGAGGTCATTAGATCTGATATTTGTGCTGCTGCACTTTTCCATAGGTTGATAGTTGCTTTATTAATCCTTGCTGTAGAGAGCTCGAGCATCACTATGTCAAGAAAATATGCTAACCACTGTTTTATGCAAAGCGAGTGAGGGGGGAGCCAACGTTGAGCTATCATTTTCTTGGTTGCAGTTGAGCTGGCTAACCAGATTTTCCTCTGTCTCTCAAGCAGGTGTAATTTAGAATCGTCATTAAGCAATAAAACAATCGGGTCAGTAGGAATTAGACATCCTATCACATCAGATATTATTGATGTTGTTTTATGCCAAAACTCATGCACCTGTTCACATTCCCAGACCATATGTAGGAAAGTTCCAGTTTGTTCAGGTCGACAGAAGGTAAAAAATGTATTTCTTTTGTGCATTTATGGGTATTTATGAATATGTTTCTTCATGCCCGCATTAACTAAGTCCCCAACCTTCTTGTCCAGGTATGAGATCCGGGACCCACACCTGGTGGAGGAACATGTCCTGCAGATTCTGAAGGAGAGGGCCGACTTTGACAACTATAAGCCCCGGCCCTTCAACATGCGCGAATTCTACGACCGAACAGGCCACGACATCAAAGACATGCTGCTCTCCTGCTACTACCGAGGCATGGAATGCAGTGCCGAAGACTTCAAAGTGGTGAGTCAGGCGTGTAAATAGTTAAATGTCCTCTGCCAGGCCAGCTGAGGCCTGCCAAGATGAGGGTCAGCTGAGCATATTTGTGATACAAGGTCAGCATGATATAGTTTATTATAACATCTATATAATATGACCTCTGTTGAGCAGTCATGGCTGAAGTTTGCTTTTGGGAAATGACATGGTATATATTAGGTAGTGAATAGTATATACTGAATTTTATCCTCAGTTCAATCTGTGTGGCTCCATCAGTCCAGATCCGTCTGTTCCCCCTCAGGATGTGACTGAGAACCATTGTGTACACTCACAGGCCAAGGGCCACTGAGTGTACATGCGTATGGTGATACACACCATGTACAAGTCTGCTGCAAGGTCCCGCATGCTGGCATTGGTTTACAGTCACTGAAAGGTTGAACAATGTTCTCATAAAAGGTTGAAACTTTTGCTGAACTCTGGATCAGTGCCATAACGCTTGCTTTATGAGTAAGAATTTTTAAAAATCTGTCGCTCTGGGAGATTTTCTGGAAGTGTTTGTTTTTCTCATCTATCAGATGGTTACAGACATCCAGTTATTACCTGGAACCTGTGTGACCTTTATATCTGCTGTACAGTGTATGGATTTATCAGATGCAGCAGCAGTATAAGAAAAAAAACACTAAGCTGTGTGAGGCACACGGGGTTTTACCTTGTCTGATAGCTGTGGTTGTCATCTGTTACTGTACATTTTCTGTGATATCTGTCTAATACCAGCCCAAACCCCTTCTGATACACTGACTGCACTATTGACGTTTTTCTGTATCAATTATTTTTGATTGTTGCAGAAAAAAACATTATAACAAATTAGCAATTATTTTGCTTCAGTTTGCTGGATGTTTGACTGATCTAACTTTGCAGTTTGCTGCTGGCAGGTAGCATACAATGTGTTTATTCAAGCTTGTTTGGTGACAGCGGCTGCTTACTGCTGCTGGAAATAGGGTTGGTTAAGTGCGGTGACTCTCAACGATACAGTAAATGTTTGGCCCGTAATACAATACAATGAAACAGAGTAGCAGAGTTGGCTGATATTTCTTTTTGTGCTTGTGATGATGAGTGACCCTTTCAAATTACAAGCACCGTTTGATTCAGATGAATATTTTGTGTCATTTTAATTTTTATCATTCAATAATGATTTCTTCTATTTTATTGTCTAAATAAGCTGCAGTTACTGGAATTATTATTAGCGAGGGGGGGCACTATGTTTGTGTGTGAAGCGTATCTAAAATGATGCTGTGAAATTTCTGCAGTGTAAAATCCTTAACCAGTTTAAATTGATGCTGGATTTATGGTTTTATTAATATAGAACAGAAGACCCAAGACAAATTAAACTAAGAAAAAAAATTGTAAAGTAGATGCATTAGGAGTCACAAAAAGAATTCATAAAAAATACATTTTAAAAATCCTAAAAAATACGTATTTTTTTAACATAAGGAGGGGAAAAAAAAGGGGATCACAATAAAATGTTACACATTGCAAACAGTGGCAGCCTGCTGTGGTAGAAAGAGATAATTCAGACAGGGCAGCTATTCAGCAGATGCTCTTTCCAGAGCAGACTGGTGATGATGGCAATGTATTGATAAGGTTAAAGTCTCTTGAGAATCCTGTGGTTATTGCAACCTAATACACATTTGTAAATGTCTCATAAAGAGTCAAGTTGCTTTATTAGTAGATACTGCACGCTTGTTTCTGAGAAAATGCTACTTCTTGCTTTTGAACAAAATCAGTGCAGCTCCTCCATACACCATTTATTGATGTGGTCACCCTGTATTTCCTGTCTTGTGAAGGAAGCTATCCCTGGCACAGCCTCCTATGACATAAACTGGACCGGCTCTTTCGAAGCTGGGACATTTCCGCATAAAAGACTCGAACAAATTGCATAAACCTTTGTAAGTCCACCATAGTAAACCACAAAAATCAGATCTCCACACTTTATTTTCCCAATCCTCCAAGCAAATGCATAAGGAAAGAGAGTCACATGACTGTTTATATTACAGGCGCACTTCACTTGACAACCAACCCACCTTCCAGACCAGTGCACATGTCTGTTGGCAGAGTCTGAGAATCTGGCGCACTGTTTCACTCTTACACCCTGTGTCCTTCAGTGGTCCTTTGAGGTTGAATATCTCATGCTATGTGAGCATTCCCTCCCCCAAAACATATTCCTGTAAAACCATGTAGTACAGCAGTGGCTGCAACACGGCCCACATGGTGCAGCTCCTCTAATGTGCTGATGTGTCCACATTACTGTAGTTAGTTGTCCTTATGGCAGATGGTGCGTCGCAGGGCTCTACTGTATTAGTACAGTAGTGGACCTGGATAGAACAGCTCAGCAGAGAGCACTAATGGTGTGGAAAGAATCTTCAGTGCAATAGAAAAAGAAAAAACAGTGCGATGAACACTGCCACCAGCCTCTGCCTCCAAACCCCAGACCATGGAAGCAGTAAAACTGTGATTAACACTGTCGGCAGCTTCTGCTTGTTTACCCCCAGCATCAGCAGCGTGCCTCGCTCGCTGCTCCCTAGCTGTGGAAGATAGCCAGAAACAAATGGTCTCCACTACAAATGGCATCAGGGAGTCCAGTTGCATTTAATGCAAGTTGTCTCCGATAGGATGGAGAGAATCTGAATTTTAAAACTGTAAAATGTTCTGATGGATGAAAAGACTTGCTTCACAGCTTCTACTATGTCAGAATTGACATTGTTTTAAGGTTCACGTTCAAGTGTTGAGTCCACCGTTATCTAATCAGATGTACGGTGTGTCCTTGTCATCACAAAAGTTCTCATCAATTAATGGTCATTGGTCCCAATACCCAGTGGGACACAGTGCTATATAACCACTTTTCAGTCATTAATGCTGATTAGTAACTCCCTCTATCTCTGACCCATTGTGTCCCTGCTTCCTCTTTCTCCTTGGACAGAATTTTGCTAATTAAGAATGCAGAAGGTTGGGCTTAAGTCTTTTAGCCCAGCTGATATTTAAGAGCAGCAGGACAGAAAAAGTATCCTCAATTAATATTAATAGGTGGCCTACAGTTTCTGAACCATAGCTGTAGGAGATAATAGAAAACAGTAAAGAGTGAGTGAATACAAAGACCATAATTAGATTTTTTATGATCTTGTGTTTAATTATAGAGACACATACGTTACCATATGGATCATAAATGTACAGAACAGTTTAAGAATAAAATCATTGGGTGCACAGTCTATGTCAGTGCGTCCCAGTGGAATCTTCCGTAGATAATATGTTGATAGGTGATTGATGTCATAACCTCTAAGTTATTCCATTTTGAACACTTCAAGACACCCACTTCAGACTACAATCACCAGGGAAAACTCTGGAAGACTTTGCAAGACTCAAAACTGAAGCTGAGGGGGTTTGGCAGACAGAGAGGGAGGGAGAGAGAGAGATAGCATATGAGTAAGAAAATGAGGACAAGAAATAAAGAAAGAAAGAGGGACATATAGACTTGGAGGCCCAGGTAACAACAAAGTCTGTGGGATGAAACTGAACATAATGGTCAAGTGCTGCAGAGAGGCACAAAGACACAAAACAGCAGCTGCCACCGCAGTAGCAGCAATAGAGGTACTATCAGTAGACACACAGGTTTGTGCTCATTTAACCTTTCAGAGACTGAAGAGCTGCACTGTATCTCCCTTTTCCAGCCGCGCAATTGTCTGCACCAACACAATGAAGTACGGCCACTCAACAAGTATCTCCTTTCCACTCTTATTTTTTTTGTTAAAAACAAAATGTCAGATTCTATCCAAATACATAGAAGGAAATCAAAATGTTATAGGTCATAATAGTATTTCAGGCTGACTTGGACAAATTTTAAAAATCATCACAATTACAGTGGTTATACCTGCACACGTCGCAGTATACATATACTTATTTTACTACCTGTTTAAGCTGCTAAACCATGACAGTATGTTTGTGTATTACCTGTAACTCTATCTTACCTATCTATAACCAGTTCTCATTAAGCAGATACATTTATTACATTACTGCACAACCTGTCTACATTACGGTTAATTCATTTTATGACTACTAGTCCCCAGTTTATTGGATTATATTATGTATACATTATGTCTTATTCCTCTATTTTAATTTCTTCATTACTTTATGTCTTATGTCTTAGGTTTTCTTCTTGTGTGATTTCCTTGTTATACATTTTGTATGAGCATTATTGGAAGGAGCCTGATAACAAAAAGTTTAATTGCCAATAGTCTTGCATAGCTCTCCACAGCTCTGTGTCAGTGCTGGAGAAAGGTCTGGCTGCACCCATTATCATTCTGCTATAGAGGGAAAAAATGTTCTGGCTTGTTTGTGTTTCTTTATACCAACCACAATCGTCTTGGGTGTCACTAAGCCCAGGATGCAGCGATGGTGCCCCTGAAAAACAGTGTTGGGAACAGATGATGTTTTGGTGAAACATTTACACTTGGGGAGGCGAGCACTGTCCTGTTAGCTAGCTTGTATATGTTCTTACTCTTAACAACCAGGTTAGGTAATTTGCCATTTTCAGCCTGTAGTTTGCTAACTCTGTTGTTGTTTTTGTAACAAAGGGGATTTCTGAAAACATCAACACGCAGATATACACAGCCAATGTCAGGCTTATAGCGGCAGTCCACATCCAGTGAGTCAGACTATCTTGCCAACAACTGCTTCATTGTAATTGTTGTGCCTATGAGAAATAAAGAACTGGTTTTCTCCATGTCCCTGTCAATGGCCAGTTCACTTGTTGTCTGTGCAGGCCATGCTGTCCAATACAACTACTTCAACTATTCTGGTTTTTTTGTTTGCTTTTAACAAAGAAAACACTTGTCTTCCTATATTCACAAAGATGTATAGTTGCCAGCAGAGTGAGAAAAGTAGCATCCTTGTGAGATTTTAGGACATCCTCCGATTACTTCTTTTTTTGTGTTTAGGTCATTGAGATTCTAGCAATTTTAGTTCATGTTCTAATACCTTTAAACTTTTTTTTTCTTTAGATTTAATTAAGAAAACACTAATTGATACTACTGAGTTTAAAAACAAAATGAAATTAGTACTTCCTTAATACTTCAAAATTGTCTTGCTGATCCTTTTATTGCAAATCTATAAAATAACTGGGAACAACAAAACATACAAAAGCTCCACAGCATCAAATTGTTGCGTGACATTTCTTAATGTTACCTGTCACACAGAAGTTAAGCAGACAGCTTGATTGAAATATTTTTGAATTGATAAATGTCTGTTAAACTATACGTTGTACATTTTTTTAAGTTTACATATTATATTATACATTTT